ATTTATAATTTATTTAAACAATTAAAATTGCGCTGCGAGATAGCGATTCGACTGTATATATCCATAAAATTAACGATAACGATTACCCATTTGTTGATTTTATAATGGCTAAAAGAGGAATTTACGAAATCGTTATTTAATTATTATTCAAAAATGGATTGTTAAGTTAGTGGTTTTTACTTTGAATAATGTTCCACTTATCACGAGTGATTTTTTTATGTAAAAATTTTCCGTAAATTTATTGTAAATTCTGTGTTATTTAAATATCTAACTTATATCATTTTTCCTTGAGAAACGATTTATATTAAAAAATTCGTTATTCTCTATCTGATTTTTTCAATCACTAATTTTTAATTTCGATCGAGCCATTTTGTGACAAAAACTATACAAAGTTTATGCTAATATCAACAATAGGCGTTTTCGCAAGTATAAATTCGCTCGTCGCTGCGGCAAGAGGATACTCAATCCTACCTTGCTTAGCAGCGCGAGCATTAAACGAAATAAAAACTCAGCTATTTCCTGAGACTGATTTCATTATTCAATGGTTAGCCTGCTATTCCTTTTCCTCACGATAATCTTAGTGCTCAACTCATAAGACTCTCTCTCTCTCTTATGAGAAAAAAGTAGTCTTAGATTATCTCCTCTGTAAAATCAATATTGCCTAGAAATTAAATTGAATATTCGTTGTGGCGCTGTCGGGCTTCCCCTCGATAGATAACAATACTCAATAGTATTTCAAACGGCTCATCGAAGCGGCGAATACTGTGTTTGCTATTCATTGGTTCTAGAAATATCAAAATTTATATAGCTTTCACGTATCAACTTCTTGCTTACTCTCGGAAACGCGATTATAAATAAATCTTAGAGTCCGAACTATTTATTTTAATAATGTAAGATAGAATTAAACGTTACACAATGCTACTCGCCACAGATAACCGAATATATCCGAAAGCAAATCGCATATTTGATTGGATAGTCTCTTCAACGGATGACGGATGGTTTATGCTGGTTTGGAAATAAGCATCGGTAAGAGCGAATTTGAGTTTTCAAAAGTTATGTTTTTAGGTTACCTTTTCTCCAGATTTAGCCCCGTGCGACTTCTTTTTGTTTCCAAACTTGAAAAAGTCACTCGTCGGCCAGAAATTTGAGTCGAATGAGGAGGTAATCGCTGCCACGGAAGCCTACTTTTCAGACCTCGAGGAAACGTATTTTTCAGACGGGTTAAAGAAGTTGGAGCATCGCTGGGCCAAGTGTATCGAACTAAAAGGAGACTATGTTGAAAAATAAAACGCCACTTTTCCAAAATGTTCGTTTTTCTTTGGTAGGCTAAGTACTTATCGGACCACCCTCGTATATGGCAGGACCCCGAGCTTGGAACTACGAGGGTCGTTTGAAAAGTCCGTGAAAAGCCAGAGAGATGGCACTACTAGTGCGTATCAAGGTTATTTTTAGTTAGTGGCATATCTTGGAAGAGCACACACCAAGTGTCAGCCAGATCGGCCAATTACTTTGCGTTTTACATTCATTTCAATTAAAGAAATCGAGTGGTTGTAAAAAAATGGATGAAAAAGAATTTCGTGTATTGATTAAACATTACTTTTCCAAAGGCAAAACGCCTCAGCAGGTTAAATAGAAGCTTGATAAACATAATGGTGATTGTGCTCCTTCGATTAGAATGGTTTATAAGTGGTTTCAAAATTTTTGGAGTGGCCATATGAGCACGAAAGACGCTGAACATTATGGACACCCTGTTGAGGTTACCACTTCAGAAATCATTGATAAAATCCATGATATGGTAATGGCTGACAGAAGAGTGAAGGTGCGTGAAATTGCTAGTACTGTAGGCATCTCGAGCGAACGGGTACATAATATTTTGTACCAACATTTGGACATGAAGAAGCTATCCGCTAGATGGGTGCCGCGATTGCTCACGATTGACCAAAAACGAGATCGTGTGAAGTGTTTCAAGAATAGTTTGCAGCTGTTCCAGCAAAATCCGCAAGACTTTAAGCGTCGTTTCATCCCTGTAGATGAAACATGGATACATCACTACACTCCTGAGACCAAAGAATAGTCTAAACAATGGGTTACCAAGGGGGAATCTGCTCCGAAAAAGGCGAAGACAATTCCTTCGGCCGGGAAGGTTATGGCGACTGTCTTTTGAGATTCGCAAGGAATAATCTTCATCGACTATCTGGAAAAGGGTAAAACCATTACAGGCGAATATTATTCATCGTTATTGGATCGTTTGAAAACCGAGTTGCTAGAGAAACGTCCACGATTGGCCCACAAAAAAGTCCTCTTCCACCACGACAATGCGCCAGCTCACGCCTCAGCAGTAGTGGCCGCAAAACTGATGGAGATAGGGTTCCAACTCGTTTCACATACCCCCTATTCTCCAGACTTGGCTCCGTTGAACTACTATTTGTTCCCTAATATGAAAAAATGGCTGGAAAAGATTTTATTCAAACGAAGAGGTGATTGCAGAAACGAATGCCTATTTTACAGACTTGGACAAATCCTATTATTTAGAAGGGATTAACAAACTAGAGCAGCGTTGGATGAAGTGTATAAGCCTAAAAAGAGACCATGTTTAACAATAAAAAGATTTATTAAAAAAATCAAGCAGTTTTTATTTTTGCACGGACTTTTCAAACGACCCTCGTAGAATAATGGAGTTGTGTGTGTGTGTGTTTGTATGTGTATGTGTGTGTGTCTGTATTTTGCTTGTACGTACGTAAATGTTATGAACTACAGCGAATCAGATATAGTAAATGAATATATGTATTATATGTAGCACTCTCCATTTATTAAGTAAAATTAATTCCTTCTGTGTATATTGGTCAAACTAAGAGAAGTTTAAAAAAACGCATAGATGAACATAGTAAAACACCTATAGAAAAATCTCTTCCTATTCCGATGCATTTGAAAAATTATCCTTCGCATGCGTTTGATTGGGATAACACAATAATTTTAGATAGAGAGTCGAATTATTATAAAAGACTGATTTCGGAAATGATATACATTAATTTATCTGACAACACTATAAACAGACAAGAAGATAGTAAGTTGCTAAGTAAGCAATATAAGAGTTTGTTTGATATTTTATCTGATTGACTTGATTGAATGTTTTTGAATGTTGTTTTGATGTGCAGTGATGCTGACTGTACCGGTTCTTCTCGACATATGAGAGGGGATATATTTAAGTGTGTATATATTTGTGATTTGTTTTGATATAAAAGGTAACAGACACCGGTCGGTTTGCATTATTTCATAGTTGTTGTCGGAGTTGAAATTTGAATATTTGTGTGAGAGAAAGTTAGAAGATGATTTTGATACTTTAATTTTTGTTAATTGGATTGTGATTGATAAATTGAGGTAAATGTTTGTTAGTTTGATTTTAAAAAAATTTTTTTATATATATTTGTTTTTGTAACCATTTTTTCATTTATTGTTAATAAAGATCTGATGAGGTTGGATATCTGCCAACGAAACATACGTGTGTAACCTAATAGGAGTGTTTGATTTATTTTTACAACGGGTTGGCTCTCAAAATTGGAATTAATTTTACTATATAGTAACTGAATTTTGAAGTTGATTTACAAATTTCAGGTATTGGTTACAGATTGTCCAGAAACAACAATACTAATTAGAAAACATTGTAATGGAATTTAGCGCTCACACATCTCAACTTGGACTATTAATGAATGTAAGGTTGTAATGAGTTTTGAAACATCAAAAGTCGATCTTCAAACGGGATAACTTGTATTAATGAATAACTTGTATTAATGTGCTGTTGCGTAGTTGTAGCTCGTTTCCATATGATTATCTTATTTAGACGTGACGTTAATGAATTTTGATAAAAAGCGGATGATCAGTCTAGGATACCTTTAGCTTGTAGAGATACAGGAAGAATTGTGCTTGTCTGATGAGTAAAATTCAATATTAGTCTAGGTTGTGCAATTTTAGTCTTTTTATATTTATTTTCTAGCTAGTACTAAATAATAAGCTGCGTATGACGCAATAAGACTTCTTTGTTTATGGCATCATTTCTTTAAAATACTAATACAGCATATTATATCAGGTATACGCTCTCTCTCTACCTCTCCATCTCTTTCTTTCTCTCTCTCTCTTTTCTTTCTCTCTCTCTCTCTCTCTCTCTCTCTTTCCAGCTTCCTCAATCTCAAGCGTTCAAGCGTTCGACTCCGCTCATTCGTTAGTGGCGCTGATACAAAAGGCCATGAGTTAGGCGCATTCCTAAATGTGCTCAACGCTGGCTACCATGCCTTGCCGAAAGAGGGGAAAAACAGGAGATACAAATGGAGAGCAAGCGTACTGCTTGCTCTCGTCACAAAGTTACAGAAAAAAATTTTTCATTCCGCTTAATTTTGTTTAATCAAAAAATATTCATGTTCGGAAAACCTTACTTATTTTTAGTTCAGATATCGAGGTCGTAATCTAGAGAAGTTTCGGATATATCAAAAAATGCAACCGAAAATCCAGTTTCTTTTTTATTTTTAACTTTTTGATGGTCAATCTTTTTTGCGAGACTGTTAACCAACACCACTACAAAGAGCACCTTTTTTCTGTTCGAAAACATTGCATGGTAACTTCCAAACATAACTCTCGAAAAATCGTCCAGTCGGCGTTAATGCGTTAAATAGTTTCGTCATAATATAACATTCTTGACATAAAAATTAGTCTAAATATGGTTTATTATCTATTTTCTTACTTTCAGATACTCAATTCAAATTAATTTTAGAATAGTATTGCAATTAATTAATAACCTTGACAACTAGAGATGAAATACATTACATTAAATCAAAATTATTCTGAATTAATAAAAAAAGAACATCGTCAACATTTTCTAAATTTCTTATTATTTACAACTTTAAAGAAAAAACAAATCAGAAAACAGGTATGTGTCGAGTAAAACTAAATTATGTTGATTTCGATAAATCAATTTTTTATCATCAAAAAGAAATAAGTAAAAAACTTACATTTACTTTGTTTAATGTCACATGACCTTTTGAATACATCGTCGTACTTATTTCCGAGGAATTAGCCGTATTTGTGGAATTATTGGTAGAGCTATTTTTATTTTGACTATTACTATATCCACTCGTTGAATTTTTATAATCTCCGGATGAACCCGAGCTTGATAACGTGTCATAATTCGTAGCACCTCCGTAAGTGGAATTGTAATTTCCAGGTTTTGTACTGTAACTACCACTAGAGTTTCCTGCACTACCAGCAGTAGCAATTTGCTGAAAAGTAAGCATCAATATTAGATAGATTATAATTATTTAATTTCCTCTTTTTATCATATAAAACCTAATAAAGCGAGAGTCTTGTAAGAGCTGTATTTATTTACAATTTATTAGTATATTTTTAAAGTAGATCATTCCATTCTCAACACGCAAAGGACTCTGTAAACACAAATAACTTTCGATATATTGTGTCTACGATAATTCAATAATTTCTAATATAAATGTAAATGAAATTCATTTACTAAAAATAAGGAAAAATTTTTTTGGAATTAGATTTATAATGAAATACTTTTAAGTAAAAAATTAATAACATTGTAAGAGTGGGTCAGCCACCGTGCGCCTTGGGCTGGTCTCTGCTAATTTTTCTGGGTTCTTTCTCGATAAAGAAAGCCGGCGCTGACTTTCACAGGCCGAAGTTCGCTCTGGTTGGGGAGGTTGATACAAATAATCGGACACTTTAATTCACTTATACTACATATGACGATCTCATTTATTAACGCCTTTTCACTAATATCGCTACAAGATTTACTTCACTGCGGTGAGCGCACTCACTCAACCTTTCCGCGACCAGAGTTCGCGGGATCACGCGAGCAAGATCGCTCGGCGTGCGCGATAAATTTTCAAAATACGCTAATGTCTGTAATCGAGCGAGAGCTGGCGCGAGAGAGATTAACTGGCTTTGGACCCACCGGATGCCGACGGTCCGTCGACCGAGAGGCGACGCCGGCGAAAACGTAGTTCCGCAGGAAACGGTGCCCTGGCGACGATGGAAGCTACTGCAGGAAGGGCCGCAGCACGGCCTTTGCCTCGTAGACGGCGAATGGTCGCTGCGTGTACTGGCTCTGCTTCGGACAACTGGCTTCCTGGCAAACGTGGCAGTCGCACCGATGGCAGTCGTTTCTTTCTGGCCAAAATCTCGTTTCGTCCAGTCTTCTCCTAGGTGGCCCTAATTACTCGAGAGCTCGCGCCTAACTGCCCTTCCTCTCTCTTAATTTCTCTCAGCCTCACGCCGCCGCGCTCCCATTTCTCTCGCCGTCAAAAATCAGTCAAAATCGCTCTGTCTCTCTCGCTCTTCTCGCTCTCACTCGCACTCACGGTGACACCTCGCCGATCGTCGCGCGCTCCTCTCTCCATATCCTGCAACGACACAAGTATGTAGTCGCTATATAGCATACACTTGGTCGCTGCGTTCACGCGAGGAGAGTGCCGCACACAGGGTTGGCGAACATCGCTATAACCCTGTCACAACATCAAGATAAATATTTATATCGATATAATACCGTAAATATTGAAGTTCATATAATATCAGTCACGCTGAGCTAGAAGCCTTAGTTATACCTACTGATAAAATGAGACAATTATAAAATGTGACACAGAACGCGCGCGCGCACACACAGAGACATACGCAAACACATAGAAGCCATGTCGTGATGATAATCTGTTTAGAGATTTGTGAGGGACACGCCTATTCCAAGTCCAAACATCTTGCAACTAGAATATCCTGATTTTCAGGAAATAAGAACATCGCGTTAATGTTCTTAGCAGATACGCTATAACGTTTACGGCTGAGATTTTGTTTAGAGTGTCATCTGTTATGGATAACATCACCTGTTAAAGATTACGAAGGGTTTTCATCTTCAATTGAAGATTCAAGATGGAATGTCAGAGAAAAATAACACTATTCTAGGTGGGCACGGTAATATCGTCTTCAATTCAAGATGGAATAAGGGGAAAAATAACACCATTCTAAATAGGTACAGTAGTGTCATTTAATTCTGTCCAATATTTCCATCAGGCGGAAACTTAGATAGCGAGCGCTGCTGAACTTACAAAGTTGGAACGCTCAAAACAGAGAAAAATCTAAATGAAGTGCTCGTTACTGCCAAAAAAATGAAATTGTAAAGCCTTCCAGCCGGGTTAAGAGGGACATAAATAATAATAATACTTATACCAAAAATCATAATGATTGAAACAAAGTTAAAATTAGGAAAAGTAAGAGTTCGCTGGATTAATCTAAGCGTGCGCAAGAAGGTATTGAAGCCAAAAATTTTTAAATATCTCACAAATGATCAAAATAACGTAGATTACCCTAATAAACTAAATTAGAAATTATAATTTCATCATAAGACCAGAATACATGGCCATAAGATACGCAAAACGCAATACAAACATTTTATGCCAGAAGCAAAAACATATCGAAAAATAACATAGCATACTACATACAAATCCAATCGGTTCAGGAAGCACGAGATCTTGTTGTATAAAACTAAAAGAAATGAAGATCATACACTATTTTCATCTCAGATCAAAACGGAGATCTTCACGTCGTAATTTCTTTCTGAGATATAAGAAGAAAAATAGCATTATATATAAAAATAGCATATAACATTCTCGCAGGATTTTGATGCGCTTAATCCAAATCTGGCCTCAGTATTGCTCTATCACATCAGATTTTTGAGATATCCTAACCCTAAAAGTGTAAAAAAACACTTTTTTGACATATTTGAGGTTATGTAGCATCGTAAATAAATTTTATCATAGAAAACTATTTAAAGCATCTTAAATTACAAATCTTTCCCTTCAAAATGTTTGCCTAAATATCTTTTTTTTGACCTAGATATTACAATTTGAAATTTTTATATTTATGAATTTCTCAAATTTCGAAAATCGATTAACCCATTAAGTCCTAAGTGGACGATATTCTTTTACTCTTTTCAATTAATCTTTTATAAGGATGGCATCCCTTGTGAAAACAGCAATCGAAGGATAAAAGATGGGTAGGTTAACTAAGTTTCGTGGATAATTTGTATGGAGAGAGTACTTTTGTGTACTAAGGGCAACGATTTAACACGTTTGTAACGAACGTTCGCGAAGGAAATTTTCGAGTTCGTGGAATTTTGAATTTCTTTTATTATTATCTAATCTGAGTAATAGGGTGACCGCGTATGCTCCATCGAGTCGCTTCGACACCACGCATGGACACAACACCATTTTTGTTTTCCTTAAATTTAAACTTAAGAGGAGCCTCAAGTGAAATTCCAGCCTGGTGATAAATTATCGATGTGGGAGTGATTAATATGGTTTTATATGTAAAATTTCACGAGGAATTCAATAATGCAGTTAATATTTTTTCCATGTTTTTTCAAAAAAAAATTTTTGATCTATACCAGCTACAGTTTAATCCATATGTAATGTTGTTCAGAATCATTTAAAGAACCAGTAAACAAAATTTCAGCCCGAAATAATAACATCTATGGGACTAGTTCAATTTTTACTGCTGCCTTAATTATCATTCTGCCGCATTGTCGTATGCGGACGCTGTGAACGATCGCGTGACGCACCGAAGAATATATGTGTTAGGTGTTTCCAATAAATTTGAATGTATTTGAAAGGAGAATTAAATATGAGCGTGATAGTTGAACGGAAATCATCAAGCACCCCCCAGGACGGCAGTCTGAGTGCTGTGACCCCGACGAAAACCTGCCTAGCGAGGGGCTATAATACTATTTTTCTTAAAGAAATTAGTGAGTTGGGAGTTAATCACACGTTCAAGTATATTAGAAGACTTAAAGAGTCTATTAATAGAACGAGTCCGCAAGTAGCATAATTTTTTACAATAGGTTACATGATCTATTGAGTTACAAGTTGTTATGAGAAAAGATCGTCGCCTTCATCGGTGTCTAAGCTATTGACATAGTCCATCTATGTTTGTATTAGAAGTAGTTTGTGAGTTATTGAGCTGATTTATCACAGGTTAATCAGTGAAATGTCTAGGTTTTGAGACGGTGTTATCAGGAATTGGAGTTTGCATCGTTTGACTAGTAATAGTAGTTGAGTAGGCAATACGTTCAGTGAGTGCGAGTATACTCTAGCAGCAGTAATTAGGGATTCGCGAACCTTAGACTGAACACTTTTAGTCGGCTTGAGTTAGTCGAGTTCCTAAACTAACAAAATAGGCATCAGGATAGATTCCGGGGTTTCCTTCATACATACACGGAGGTTCCAGACAATCGGTAGGCAGTAGCTCAAAGCCTTAGATTTTTGGTGAGCAGCCACGAGGAGCGTGCGAATTGCTCTAAGCTATAAAGGTCTAATAAAGACTTCCGAAGGAGGACCGTCTTCAAAAATTTTGAACGCATTAGTGTTCGTTAGCGCTCTCGATCGACGAATAATATCATGAGGATCGATAGAGTTTGTCAGTTGAAATGCAAACGATCTCGCTTCCCGTGAAGCATTTAGCTGAATGCAAAAGTTGACTGTATCTGGCTTATAAACCCATGCACACGTAGCCCAATGACAAGAGCTGAAAAAAACTGAGTGTAGTCAGTAACAACTTACCTTATTACTTGCTCTGCTGGATTACACATATTTTTGTAATATACGAGGGTGTTCCGATAAGTACTTAGCCTGCAAAAGAAAAACGAAAATTTTGGAAAAGTGGCGTTTTATTTTTCAACATAGTCTCCTTTTAGTTCGATACACTTGGCCCAGCGATGCTCCAACTTCTTTAACCCGTCTGAAAAATACGTTTCCTCGAGGTCTGAAAAGTAGGCTTCCGTGGCAGCGATTACCTCCTCATTCGACTCAAATTTCTGCCCGGCGAGTGACTTTTTCAAGTTTGGAAACAAAAAGAAGTCGCACGGGGCTAAATCTGGAGAATACGGTGGATGGGGCAGCAGTTAGTAGTATAATTCGACCAATTTGGTCATGGCGATGGCGGAGGTGTGAGCCGGTGCGTTGTCATGGTGGAAGAGCACTTTTTTCTTCGCCAAATGGGGCCGTTTTTCTGCATTTCGACGTCGAATCGGCCCAATAATTCGGCATAATACAGCTCTGTGACCGTTTTGCCCCTCTCCAGATAGTCAATGTAGATCACACCTTGTGAATCCCAGAAAACGGTGGCCATCACCTTTCCGGCCGATGGGGCAGTCTTCACCTTCTTCGGAGCATTTTCGACGGGTAAAGTCCACTGTTTCGACTGTTCCTTGGTCTCTGGT